GAGAGAGAGAGAGAGAGAGAGAGAGAGAGAGAGAGAGAGAGAGAGAGAACAGACAGAGACAGACAGACAGACAGAAATTATCTTTCAAAACCTCTTTCACTGTTTCTATGGTTGAGCTTAACAGCTAGATTATAGTGGGGACTATATTATATGGAAATCTTCACCTCCCAATTGCCTTGGTCAGATATTCACACTCTGAATGGGGAGAGAGAACCATGTCAGCACCGACCTCAGCAGCTGAAGGGTCATTTCTAGTGTCAGAAATGGGGACACAATCTAAAGCCATTCAGCTCAGCCCTGCCTGTGCAAAGACAAGGAAATCAGTCGAGCCATATGGCTGTAGGCCTGTGAGTTTCCAGGGCTAGATGGTACATGCATCTCATGATAATTTTTCTGGGGTTCATCAACTATCGTCAATAATGACTTATTTATGCCCAACTCATATCTCTCACTGCAATTTCAATTCATTTCCTATTACTCTGTAGATATGGACAACAGATGGTCATCATTCTCCTTATAACCTTCCAGAGAATAGAAAGCTATGCACTAAAGTTCTCCAAGGTGGCATTTTTCCTTATCAAAGAGTTCTTATTTCTTCAGTTTTAGCACAAGCTTAATTTTCTGGTCAATTATTTCATTTGAACTATACGAATTAAAGAAAAACTCAGTGGTTTTACTTGAGAAAAGAAATACATCCAGGTGATTAAAATTCTAACATTACTAAAGAATATGCAATGGAAAGTGAGTTTTCCTCCCACCCAAGACCCTTCAATCTTCCTCTCTGCAGGCAACTGTTGTTACCAGGTGCTCCTTCCAGATAGTTTTCTTGACATTTCCAAGTATGTATGAATATGTCCTCTTCAAATTATCTTCTTTATGTATTACCTAGCTTCCTACCACTATAACAAAATACCTGACACAGGCTACTTGTGAAGCAAAGAAGCATTCATTGTTCTGGAGTTTAATGTGCAAGGCTTGGTGATCCATTGCTTTGGATCTTTAATAGGGACAGCACATCACATGTCAGAGCCAGGACTTACATTTTGAGCTAGGGAACAGAGAGACACTGGAATCCCACAATTCCCTTGCAGGACACAACCTCAGTGACCTAAGGACCTTCTATTAGGTCCCATCTCTTAAAAGTCTGTAGCACTTTCGAATAGTACTGTCCTGGAGACCACACCTTTAGGCATGGGCCTTTAGGAGACACTACTTATATACAAACCGTAGTAGTGTCAACTTAGCAAATATCGATAAACACCAATTGTGTGTCAAGAGCTGTGCTAACTCCTGGGTAGGGTGCAAGCGAAGTGAATGAAATATATTGCCCTCTACCGAGGAAGCTTACACTCTACCTGGGGGGGGGCATAGTCCTTCATCTGTTAAGTATTGACTAAGCTCTTTCTGTGCACCAGGCAATGGATAATATGCATCTTTTGCCCATGCAGAGTTGAGTGTTGTTTTGAGAATACTACTGATGAGAAAGCGTGGTTCAAGTATCAGCAAATGCCAGGGAAATGCCACAACGCTTCTTGACAGTTGTTTTACAACTTCTTGTAAGCTGTGTGGGGGACAGGCACAATATCTAAGCCTTACAGGCAGTGGAAAGGAGACATACTATAACTCTACACCCAGCACCGGGCTAAGCACCTTTGTACATGTTGTCTCATGGGATCTACATGGCAATATGAGTTGAGCTCATATGTTTTACAAATGAGGATGATAGGATCTCCAGAGATGTCAAACAACTGGTTCTAAATCACATGGCTGACATTCAGAGTCATATAGCTGAAATTCAATGGCAAGCTTATCTTTTTGCCAAGCTTTTTGTTGTTGTTGTTCCAGAACTGGAGATTGAATTTAGGCCCTTCACACTGAGCTACATTCCCAGTCATTTATTTTTATTTTTCATACTGAGACAGTGTCTCTCTAAGTCACTAAGTTGATCTGGTTGTGTGAGGGTTCTTATCTAACACAGTCATCACCACTTCCAGGGGGCAGGGGAATAACGAGTAATTAAGATACACTTTCTCTTCTCTCTTTCCTTATGGAAAACCCTGACCTACACACTGGTTGAATTAGTCTACTGTTAGGCTGAATTTTTTTCTACATAAGCGATGAGACAGAAAGGAAAGTGTACTAGTTGGGAAGTCAGGAGACTCCAGTGCTGTCCCTTCCTCTGCCTTCACAAGCTGTATGACCTTGAGCAAGTCCTTCTATTACTCCTTGGGCCTTAGTGTCCTCAGTTGCAAAATATGGTGGCTAAAGGGAATCATCTCTGGATTCGTGATGGGAACTGGTGATATTTTCATGATCCCATTGGAGCTGCAATGATATCTTCTGGCACAAAAGTATATCCCTGTCTCCAGTAAAATGCAAATGCTGGTTCAGTAAATCTACTTATTTTCAAGGCAATTTGAAGAACAAATCTCCAGTGAAGGTAAACATCTAGCTTCACATTACTGACAGTGTGAGATATAAATATGCTTATTCTTTCTTGATTTTTGCTTTCTGTTCCTAGTTTTGATCTCCCACCAATTTTCTCAATAAAGTGAAATGAGCCTTAATTAAGTGAGGAAGTACCCATTTAATATATTCAATTTAATTAAAGAAATAATTAATTATAGAAACTGAAGATAATTCTTAATGAAAGTTGGGGGGGAAGCCCTCAAATTAATGGATTATTGCAGGTATGTAATAAACTGCGAACTTTGCTCAGGCTGATTTGATGCTCAGAGAAGCAAGCCCATGACGTGCCGTAAGCCACAAAAAGAGGATCTAACCTGTCAATAAGCTCCATAAGGCTAAGAGCGGAGAAGCAGAGAGGCTGGTTGGATCTAGAAACAGAGGTGACGGAGGCCAGCAGATAACGACTCTCCTGCGTTCCGCTCCTTCCCTTTTCCATAAAACGCAGGGATTTAAAGGCCAGATCTGCTCATTTGGAAAGCAGGTTCTTCTTTGAGACCCCACAGTGACACAGGGGTGGAAAGTTAAAGAGACCTTGTGCTTAGGTAAGTGTTTCTCTTCCTTTCTCCCTCTTGTCCTCCCCTCCTCTTTCCTTCCTTCAAACATTTTAAGATGTAAAAATAACTATCACTCATTATAAAAGAACCAAACTACATGGAATTGTAAGAAGTACAAAGTAAAAGTCCTGAATTTCTATCTTTTCTTTTCCTTCTCTTCCACCTCCCTTTCTTTCACTTTAAAAAATATGAAAGTAATGCATGCTCATTATAAAATAATGAAACTGTAGAGAAGTGTAGGCAGTATAAACAAAATCTAATTCCTATTCTTCCTTCCCTGCTCTTTCTTATTTTTCCCTTTTTCGCTCCCTTCCTTTTTTCTTTTCCTTCTGTTTCAAAAATTAAATGAATACTATTTCCATGAAAGATTTTCAGTGTAGAATTGTACGATCTATAAAGCAAATATCCTGAAGCTTATCTTCCTTCCCCAGCCCACATTTCTATGCATGACATGTAGTGCTACCTTATTCCTTTTAGGAGCTGCATACTATTCTTTTGGTGAAGGCTGATTGATTTATTTATTGGGTGCCAGGTAAGTTTCTGAAACATACCTTGGAATTGCTATAAAGGTTTAGAGGAAATAGAAGGAAAATATAAATTGGCTTGTTTGCTGCTGAAAATTCCATTTTATAGATAGTGATCCTATCCATTTCCATAACACGTTAGGCTATGAAAATTGCCTTCAAACTATCATTTCATTTTATCCCTTTCTAGAGAAGCTCAGGGAAATTGGTAGATTTTTATCTCCATTTTTACCGATAAGGAAACTGAGTCCCAAGGACATTAAGGGACAGAAATTATTATGGTCTCACAGTTCCTGATTTTCAGTATAGACCTCATTGTAGACTGTAAATTTAAGCTGCATTTCATCTTACAAGTCATAAAAGATTTAGACACCTACATCCTTGTAAGCTACTAGTTTAGAAAATCCATTCAGGTCATACAAAGTCTCTGATTATTCTAATGAAAGGGAAGTAGAGCACTTGGTACATGTGACGAGCTTGATTAATGCCTGGTGTTCACAGCAAGTTCACAATTCATTTGATTTTCTAGTTGGCTTCTGTTAGACTATATGTACAGTGAGGCTATTCACTCCAAATCCTATTTAGAAATTGAAACAAATATAATATGTTGCATCATCCTATAGGAAAAGAAATGGTTAAATCAGTAGTAAATCATTCTGAAGTGGATTTTATTTAAAATCAGAAAACATCAGTGAGTAGTCTACTGCCAAACTTCTGTACAATGTTCCAGTAGGATTTGTGACTTGAACAAAATTTTATTTGGAAAATTGGGGTTATCAGTGCATTTCCCAAATAAGATGCTTCTGTTACAATTAATTAATGAGAAAAGCTGTGTGAATGTAATGAGATGGTGGTCCGTTTCTCTAAGCAGATTTGCCTTAATGATTTGATGAAATCCTTTCGTCAATAAGATCTTCTTTCACTGTGTTCCTTCAAGCTTGATGTGATCATTACACAATGTATACATGTACTCAAATATTGTAACTCATACATGTATAATTATATGCCAATTAAAAATGAAAACAAGCACAACAAAAAAGTCTGGGATCATTAAAACTGGTAGTTTTGGAGGGGGAAGTTGTGCACATTAAGATTGTATGCATCACACTCTGTAAGTACGCATCTTGAGTGTCTTTCTGACTGTGCTAGCTGCCCCATAAGGACAGGTGTCTCTATCTTGACTTATCAGTATTGTGTTCCCAATAGTAACACAGTGTCTGGCATATAGTAGGTATTTAATAAAATTTTTTGAGTGAATATACAGATAAATCAATCAGTGAGGTTTCAGCCAGTACAGACCACTCAGGTAAGTGTATCCTGGAGTCAGTTGACATTGTATTAAGCAATAGGAAGAAACCTAAAGTGGAATGCAAAGAAGTGTTGTCTCATAGAACTTGTTCACTTTGAATCTGAGATGGACATATTTTTGACCTTTTGAACACAGGTTTAGACAATGACAGAACACATCGTACACCACAGGCTTTATGGAGTGATTCTCATGTCAAGTTTTATCTTTCTTTCAGGTAAGAAAATAGAATGTTATTATCTCTTGCAATGTTTCGCATATGTAGCTTCAAGAAAAAAATCATTTGAAAACATTAGTGGTGATTTGCTTGGCTGCCTCCCTTCTTTGAGTCAGTATAGGTAGGACAAGGCAGACTTTTGGTAAACGCATATTTTCACTTAATATTTTGCATGTTCAATGGAAAACTGATCCCAAGAAGGCAGTAGCTGGGACTACTGCCTTTAACACTCCTCACTGCAACTCCAAAATGTTATTTAGTGGCCAGTGTACTCTTCACATAAAATTTGGCTTTTATGGGGGGCCATTTCTCTCATGCATAATGATTCAGTTCAAATTTCTGTGTCGTGCTCTTTTTTCTGTCTCCATTATATATTTATAGCAATGATCAAACAATATGGACAAAGAAACTGAGACATGCTAAGAGCTACAGTGATGTACAGATATCTAAAAGGTCCCATACTCTGTGGTAGGAGAGGACATAGAATCTTCGTTTTTATTTTGCAGTAGTGAATGGAAGATAAGACAGTTCAATACGTTAGTTGGTAATTTGGAGATTTAAGTAGAAAACTGTTTTCAAAAACTGCTATCTCATTCTTATTAAATAAATTCTGTTGATAAAATTCCTCTCTTAGAACACTAGTCTTTAGCTAAAAGCTCATAAACCTCAGTGAGTGACAATTGCTAATGAAATTAACCTAGGGTTTGATTTGTAAGAGTGTTCAGACTTTGGGTCTTCTCTTTAGGAAAAATACCAAATCATCATTACCATTAGTAGCAATCCCTGACTGGATCTTTGCTACATGTTCAGAGCCTGATGGAAACCACAAGTTTTATAATAAAGGTTGAAATGGGACCTATGGGGCACAGTGGCAATTTTGTCTCCTGGGCTTGCTTACCTGTTAAGATGTTAATTTATCTTTCTCCTGTCTGTTTCCTCAAAGGCAAGCAGCATTTTCTTTAGTTTTTTGTTCAAAACATTCAAACCAGGTTTTGACACACAGATTACATTCTCAGTACATATGTGCTGAATCATTAAATTAATGCAACTTGAAGATCTAAAACTTTGGGCATTTGGATGATGATGATGATGAATATATATATCTTCATAGGTTTGTGTGGATGTTCAGAAAGCATGAAGTAGAACAATCTAGGAACAGAGACAAGTAAGAGTCTTTTGTAGGCATAGAATAAAGAGTCCTGAAAAACTATAGATACCGCAAAGTTTGGGTGTGTTTTTGAAAGAATGTCATTGGCCAGTAAAAAATTATTATAAATGTACAGATTGTAAATGTGCAAGGGTCACTTTAAAACAGTCACAGTGTCTTCCAGATGGTCACCGTCCCAAATTCATGAGTTGAAGCAGCTATTA